TTTGCGTTTTCGTTGCTTCACTAGTTCTGGTTTACAAGTCTCACTCTGGTGAAACCTGTGAACTCTTGTGAAGCTGGAGCAAGCTCGTCAAGCCATCATGGTAAAACCTGTCAACTCGAGAAGAGGCTGTCTAGATGGGTCGACACGTCGATGGGAAGTCGTTAAAGTGCAAAATGCCCCCGTCGCCAAACAGCGCATGAGTATTTTATTTTGAATCCATACATACTGTATGGGCAAGCTTACTGTCACTCATACTCTTAACGTGAGTGCCGTGAGCCTTTAGATTAGTAATTAAAAAGAGGTTACTCGTGACATATAACGCAGTAATCGTATGGGCGGGGACACACATCCATCATGCCTTTCTCATTGATGCTCCTCTTATTTACTGTGTAAGAACAGGGGCATTAAATTGAATAGAGCCCAATGGTTGTGTGTTTCCTTCTCCTCAGTGCGGGCCAGCAAAGGCACAACCCACCAATAACTGGAAGGGAAATGAGTGGGGATACTCCGCCCATTCGATCATCGTGGAGTTTGTTCAACAATGAAGAAGTGGAAAAGAACGCTAAATGCAGAGTCCGTGCTGAGTTTATCGTTTTCGGGACCAGCTTTCCAGTTCAAGCAAGAGCAGAGCAAGAACACAGATATGACAGCTAGCTACCAAAGCGGGCGGAGCCACTTAAACAACTTAGGGTCTCAAAGCTCTTGCCTCAAAACTTCTTGACGCGAAACTTGTACAAGGTTGGCCATTGCGGTCCACACTGCCTTTTCCCACAAAGGACTTTGATTGCTATAAAAAACTGAGAAACGTGCCTTTGATAGTCCAGGCGAGGCGCGCTTTTTGCGGGGGGGGGCATTTTGCACTTTAACGACTTCCCATCGACGTGTCGACCCATCTAGACAGCCTCTTCTCGAGTTGACAGGTTTTACCATGATGGCTTGACGAGCTTGCTCCAGCTTCACAAGAGTTCACAGGTTTCACCAGAGTGAGACTTGTGAAAAAATTATGATAACAACTTGTTGAATAGTAAGGATATTCCACGAAATATATACAACTACTTCTCCAGAACATTCCTTTTACTTTTACTACGAGTGTTCAGGTGCTCACTTAATGGAATTTACACGCTATAAGTACTATCGAGAAAACAGAAATGCCAGTTGGAAGGTACGTTCCTCTTTCATGGACCTCAGTTATAAATCTTACTAAAGGGGCGAGGGTAGCTTACAGGTTATGGGCCGTTTTTTGGACGGTTTTTTGGCATGGTTTTGGTTTACTCATAAACGAAACCGAAATGTTGGATTAAACGGCAGAACGGTTCCAACGGAGAATATTTGGTTAAGAACGACGACTTTTTGAGAAAAATTGGACCAAGTTTCTACGCTTGCAAAGGGAAATTGAGGAAATCCCACATGAATCTGGGAATGTGGGAATCTGTTATGTTCGCACGACATCGTCAGAGATCTAACGTGTCCTGGAGTCCTTCCTATCAGCCCATTATTCAGCTTAATAAGTTTGTATCCCATCAATAAGTGGCTGACTACAACAGAAGAGATTAGGATTCTTAAGCCGAAGTCGAGAACGATGTGCTAAAAGGACTAAAGAAGTTGTGGCGGTCTCCACAGCAAAGTGTACACTCAGAAAGTAGGCGGTCGTCACTAATGACGCGATAGGATTATGAAATAGTGACGTCATTCCTCTTGCAAAAATCTGATTTTCCAAATAATTTGGAATTTTACGTGGAGATCTTATCTTCTAAGATTCTCCTGAGAAAGCAGGGAAGGGGATGTACCATGGGTATCAGACGCTGATACGATTTTCCTCACAAAAGGTATATGGGCGATCCATTTTCAGGCTCTTTGTTGGGTGATGTGTGACCTCCTTTAACCTGAAAGTCCCTGTCCTTTTACCTACTTTCTCAGGGCAATACAAATTCCATTTAAAAAGCTCCCGGAGAAACCAAGGAATTTTTCCCACTAAGCGCCTCAAACGTCCCCTCCTTCCCCCGTCGCCTCTTCTCTCCTCCTTAGCGTCTCAAACGTCCCTCCCCCCGGTCACTCGCTGAGCACTTCTCGAAGGTGAACTGATTTGGTAGGTTAGCCCATGGGACCGTAACTCTAGAACCATATCTCTGAGATGCTGAAATCGAAAAAATACGGCATGCGGCTCTACAGATACACGCTATCTTCTTCCGAGGGCGCGCTTTACATTGAGAGTGGTTTAACGAGAGGGGAAGGGGGATGGGTGGCGGGGAGAGTGCGTGCGGGAATTGTATTGGTTAGGGGAAAAGTTTTTCCATAGTTTTACCATTTTATGTGCGCTCTACACATACAAGTCCCGCTCAGCCGGTTGAGAGAGGAGGAGGGGGAGGCGTCTACGGGAAATTTCACCCAAGAGGCCGAATCCAGTCTGGGTAAAAGTTGTTTTCATAGTCTCCCTGTTTCGTGCGCGCTCTGCACATGCAACCCTTGCTCCATGCGGGGGACAGGGTGCATCTAGGGGAATATCTCCTATCAACAAGAACTGATCCTTGATTTCCTTGTTGTCGTTGCCTTCAGCACATAGCGCTAGCCTTTATATAGTCCTACCTTTTACAGTCCTACTCCTAACCCATTTCTTTCAGAACTCTGTTAGGCACAACTTGTCACTGAATAAGCAGTTCAGACGTTTAGATAAACAAGAAGGCGCAAAAGGTGGGTTTTATCCGACTACCTTTCTAAGTATTTACTCGAAATGAACTATTATTTTCATAGGCTCCCTATGGATCTGTGTCAACGCGCCAGAGAGACGGCTACGCTCACTGGACGGCTCTCCTCCTCGTATCAATCCCACAATTGAACGATTGTATATCAAAGGTAGGAACATTTGG